AACGTATGTACAATATAACCCAACGTTCAACACAGATAACATTGCAGCCCGCCTCTACACATGATCCTGAGCTCAGTTCATTTCCCGTCCTTAAAGCCAGTCTCCAAAAGAACTATATTAACACGTCCTCCATTTTTTCTTGGTCTTCTAAGTCGCCGTTTTCCAAGAGATTACCTGAAATTTTCTATACGAATTCCTTGTCTCCCCCATCCTAAATACCCGCAAATGCCCTGATTATCGCAGTTTCCTAACATTTCACATTCCCAATAATATTAGTTGACTAATACAATTCTTGAAATTCGTCATTATGTAATATCATGAATTTTTACTCACTTCAGAATTTCTGTGTTCAAATATTNTTCCATAAAATGCTGGGAAGTCCTTGAGTAGCTGCACAACTGGCGGCTTCTCAAGAAGTGCTCAGCGCCGTGAGTGAGTGATGTTAGCACATTTCTGCTGGGTAAAAGTAGGAAAGGCAAAGCTGTCCCTGCCGTTAATGTATATATTAAATTATGGTTAGATTTATTTTCGTGGCATCTGAGGTTACAATAACGATGGAAATAAAAATTTCTATCTTATGGGATGTGATGTCATGTAGTTTCATAGAGAGGTACCTCGTTTCGGAAGAATCTGCTTTATCCGTCTTCAGGGTGGACCAACCTTCAAGGTGTCACATCACAGAACAGTAAAATTTCAAGTTCAATCTTCGGTTATTTCGATGTATATAACCATTTAAAAATGTCTTTCGACAAATTTAACTAAATAACTGCAAGACTACCGAGAGTAGTTGACTGGACAGAAGATATCAAAATTTATTCAAGTGTTTTTATCGCACGTGTTTTTGTTTCTTTGTTTTTGAACTCATTGATACTGCCTTTCGAGTGAAAGTGTTTCAAATCGCCAGCAATATTAGGCTATCCGTCTTACAGCGGTGACAAAGAAGTTGCTTATATGCACGGCGAACTAGTTCATCTCAGCAGACGAGGGGTGACAGGAACAAATTTATGTATTTTACTTGTCCATCAATCTCCTTCCTCTACTTTTTCAGCTCTATTAGCACCCATTTCCAGATATTTTCCGATTCAGAATTAATGCTGAAATTATTAATATTTTACCCATCTGACAGAATTCCTTTGACGAAGAATTGACCCATCGTAGGGCACGAGAGAACGTAACACGCAGAAAAAACACACATACGTCTAAGCACCAAGCAGGATTCGAACCCTCTGTCTCATTGTTCGAGAGATCCATATCTTGCCTGCCTTATTATATCGCTGATCGACATAGTTTGTATCAATTTATTAAATTCACACAAATTAAAACGTTCGTTGCCTGAGAGTAAATTAAAAATTATTGATATTTCAGGCATCACTATTGTCATGTGTGTGGACTGCCTTATTGTAGTATGGGAGTACTGATAACAAATCAAAATCAACTACATCTATTTAAGAAGATTTCTAACTTCTTGCTTGTAACGCCGTGTAGTCTGATAGAAATATCGTAGGGACATATTAACTCCATCTTTAGGGTCAAAGAGTGAGCAACCAGCAAACAGCTGCTATATATCCGAGAGACTGTGGGCACAGATATCGGTCATTGGTCTCCGTAAGCCAGTGTTGTGACACGACACAAATACAGATATAGACCGTGTTCTTAAACACTCTTCACCGTTCATTATTTAAACTCAATCCACTATNGGAGGTAGGCCTAGGCCCACTGGCGTTGTAGTGCCAATGAAAAAAAAAATCTATCGGACAATAGACCGTCAGTCATCATCACTCAATAACGCCTCGGAAGTCAACCAATTAAAGATTCTTATATCAATGGTATGGAAGAGTATCCGTATACTACATTTGACTGTCCATCTACAGACTTGTGAGGTTAAGTTCAAAATATTTCTCTAAGGCTGGGGCCACACGAGCGCACAAAATACGTCCGTTATAGAAATAAACAAGAGAGGCGAATGCTACGCTTCCTTCTGGCTCCATTGCAGACAAAACACTACGCACCGCATTCTGCAACTGTGTGGTGTCCTCAGCAACGTCCGTCTTAAAATAAGTTCGTTACAACGGACGTACTTTGTGCGCTCGTGTGGCCCCAGCTAAGATGTACCGAACTTCCCACTATTTAATGATCTGTATCAGCTGAAGAGCTTATATAACGTTTAATCGGACAGTAAGTGACCATGAATATCACAATTTTATTATTGATTATTATTTAGAAATTATTTGTATGAAATCAGTAGTGGCCGATTTGAAAATCCTACCCAGGCATGCGCTTGAAGAAACATAGACAAAGAATAAAGAACCCAGTCAGCACAGGTCTAATATAGCCGAGATCAGAATAAGAGACCTTCCAAATACAAGTTCATAACGTTATCTTAACAACGCTAATGTAACGTATGTACAATATAACCCAACGTTCAACACAGATAACATTGCAGCCCGCCTCTACACATGATCCTGAGCTCAGTTCATTTCCCGTCCTTAAAGCCAGTCTCCAAAAGAACTATATTAACACGTCCTCCATTTTTTCTTGGTCTTCTAAGTCGCCGTTTTCCAAGAGATTACCTCAAATTTTCTATACGAATTCCTTGTCTCCCCCATCCTAAATACCCGCAAATGCCCTGATTATCGCAGTTTCCTAACATTTCACATTCCCAATAATATTAGTTGACTAATACAATTCTTGAAATTCGTCATTATGTAATATCATGAATTTTTACTCACTTCAGAATTTCTGTGTTCAAATATTTTTCTTAAGCATTGTGTTTTCACATATTTGTGATATATAGTATTCCTTGAAAGAAAATAATTACCCTTCGCACCCATACTGGTAAAACTATTCATTTTGTGATTATTTGGTAGAGGTTTCCGGCTTTTCCGTAGAATGCACTGCCTCCATCATTCATCATGAAGATCAAAGCCTCCAAAACACCTACCAGACAACACGGTATCATAGCCCAAAAGACCATGATACGTGTCCTCAATGAAGTGGAAACCTCAACCCTTAACACGACAAAATTCCTTCGTCTTCCAATCTTGACCGTCCTTCCATTGTTTCCTGCATTTCTGGTTTTCATCACTCATGTTCTGATCACATGACCGAGCAACATCAGAACACTTGTATTCGGAAGGGTCCAGGTTTGAATCTCGAACTGGGCACTAAATACTCTGACAGGGTTCTGCGATTCTCCTAAATCCCTTCGGGTAAATTCCAGGAGACGGTGTGACGACCAGTACCCTCCACACCCCTTCCAATTCCCTATCATACAACCATTCGATGTAATTTCATGCCCTATTCTTGAGTTTCCTGTTCTGCAATGATTTCATGCCTTTATATAGCCTGGAAAAATGTTATGTCATACTTTTCTGTCTCTTCTAACTCTTGGACCTTAGGGCGTGTAGGAGTATATCACGCTGCAGTACAGTCTAGCACATTATTTTGCGTCTTATTCTTCTGTTCCCTGTTCTAGATATACTCTATGACTTGCATGTATAGCCTTTTGTATAGCCTGACATAATATTTTAGTAATTAGGTTTTAATTTTTATGCTTGACCCATAGAGCTTTAGTGCCAGGCCCCAGCACAGCCTGATAATTTCATCCATTTTTAGTGTCTTAATTAGGAAATAAAGTTTTTTTAAGGGTTGCAGTGGTGTGGATTTACAGTTTGTTACTTCATGCAGGGGCAAATGGCCACGGAAGCTGAAATGCCTGTAAGCCCATACACACACGCGCTATGTAGTCTGAATTACTAGCAATCGTTAAATAAATAACAACATTTAGATCATACAAAATATGATATATGTTTAATTGCAGGAGGGCCAGGGAGCGGTAAGGTGACGCATTGCGACAACCTGATGCAGGAGAAGAGAGGAATCACACACATCAACATGACAGATCTCTTGCAGCAGTACGCCATTGGTAACGGTGAGATTTTAAGCTGGCCATCCAAGTATCAAGTCAGACCAACATGGGTCCGTTGCTATAATGAGCACGCTGCACATAAGCCACTGTTCGCCACAACTGTCCAACTAATTTGTGTTCAGGCACCAAAATTCCTGTTTTAACACATCTCTGCTTACTAAGGGCAGCAATTTAATGTCGCTATATTAGGTTAATTATTTGGAAATGACACTAAAATTTATAAGTAACACAGTTCTTGTTCACAGACGGCTGTTGCCCTACAGATATAAAACCGGTTTGGGATAGGCTTTTGAATGATTGTGATTAACACCTTACATAAAAATTTCGATGGAATACATTTTTTGTAATAAGCTATATAAATTTATGCATATAAATAAAACTTTTATGTAAAAGAAGCGACGCCAGATCCGATTTCGTATGCCACGCAAATTAAATTACAACTCGAAAATTATTTCTTACAGCACTCACGTAATATAATCTCACGTGTCTTGATTAATTTCGGTGCAATGGGAGGGCTGAATACGATTCAGTTACCAAACCTTGGCGCTAGGCGGCAGAGATATCGCTCAGTAAGTTATCGGGTGGAGCAACTGAAACATTATAAGAGCACTTTTGAAAATGGCGACAGTTACAAGAGTAAAATATTGCGTCATTCGAATGAGAATGCCTCATAATTTCGATATATGTCTATTTTGGGAGTAAGCCTAAATTCATGTCACTAATTTTAATTTCCAAATGCATCGTGGTTAAAATTTAACGTACAATAGCACTGCACGTTCAAATGTCTGCATAGAATTTTTTTTCCACCAACGCTCTCCTATCTTCTCTCCATACTTCGGGTTTCATAAATTTACAATCTTTTATATTCATTCAAGAAACTAAATTCGTTTTCCGTATACCGGACAAAGCTTAACGGTGAGAACATGTATATTTTTCACCTTGCTATTATAGATGACTTCACAGAGGTTCAGTGCTAATGTGGATCATGTTTACAGGGGATTTTATCAAAATGAATTATTATCCGAATAATAATTAGTAAGTAATCAAAATCACCCATAAGTTCAGCTTCTTAATATTGCAGTTCTGATGTCTGTGCACCATATGACAGCGTCGTGTAGAAGCAATCTGTCTTGCAGATGCTTCGGCGATCCTTATTGTCTTAAGCTTTGGTTACCGTAATCAAGCGGCCGTAATATGACGGTGAGTGACGTCACTAAACCGTTTTAGTGACGTCATTCACCGTCATATTACGGCCGCTTGATTACGGTACCGCTACCCGAGGAAACCCAAGCTTTAGTCTTCAAAGCGAAGGGACTGATTGGTACCCCTGCGGTGCTTATATTCTCAGTAGCCCACAGATCGCTAGGAACTGCTCAATTTGAGTCATACAGTAACTTGGAAATACAACAAATTCCGGTTTCGTCTCCGTATGAAAGAACTGGGAATTCTGCATAAAATGCACTTCTAAATTATACCTTATTTATAATCGACTTTTCCCTAACGAATTTCTGTTGGTTCTAAAGGGTTCTGACGATGATGGAAGACACACAGAATTACTGAGGTTTTGGACCTTTCCCATCGTCCGAAATTTTAGGTAACAAAGGACACGACGTCTCGGACACTGGGTCTATTTTCGTCTTCAGGAAATAGGTCCAGTTTCCGAAACTACGTGTCCTCTATTACCTAAATTTCCGGACGATGGAAAAAGTCCAAAACCCTAGAACTTCTGTTGGTCTAGGGAACTTAAGGTATGTTTCTCTTTCTCACTAAATTCATATAGCATTTATTGTTTCAAATTTTGACAATTTTGGACCACACAAAACATTTCATTAATAAACACGACGGGGTGTGATATATACGGAAATGTGGATTCACATTATGAAACCGTAATTTCGAAGATGACACTCGTAGACTAAGGGCTTATTCAGAGGAAAGAAGCTTCGTAAATAAGTCGATTATATATTTACGTATTAAATGCAAAAGCGAAATTATTGCAATTCTCACAAGTCCCAAGCAAAATCGATGTCCATACACGTATATGTTATTCTGCACTTTCAAAATTTACGTATGCACATTAGATCTGATAAATCGCAAATATTAAATCTAGTAACGGTATATACGTGTACTTCTGCTGTCCTGAAAACTATACTTGTGCAAATAATTCTAAAAGGTTCTGACTATGGTATATAACACTCAAAATTACTGAGTTTTCGGACTGTGTCTATCGTCCGGTATTCTAAAAAATAGAAAACATGACGTTTCGGAAACTGGATCTCTTTCCGAAACGTTTTTTCTAGTTTTTAGAATACGGGACGATGGACAAAGTCCGAAAACCCGGACATTCTGAATATACTTGTGTAGCTAAACAAGTGTAAATTATTGCATAAGATAAAATTGTTGGAAACACAATCAGCCATTGATGTCACACTTGTGAAACACCTGTCTTCTTCTTGTAGAGCACATAGATGTCTCATTCACAGTACAGATTTGTCGATAGCGCAAAAATAGTATTGATGTTACAGACGAAAAATAAATGTTAATTTCACAGAACACAATTTTTCGCACAAAATAATTGACGACTTCGGTTCCAGCAACTTTTAAACTCTCTAATGCACATCTGTCACACTTGCAATTCTCACGTCTTGCTCGTTCTTAACTGAGCGCAACATTAGACTTTAAATCAGATATTACTAACATCAATTTCTTATCAACCAAAATATATCAGATGATCAGGAGATAAAATACGAGTTTATTTCATGTATTTAAACACATTAAATCACCAGACCGCTTCTGTGGACTAATGATCAGAGTTCCTGGCTACAGATCCAGAGATCCCGGGTTCGATTCACGGCTCTACCAGATTTTATAAGAAGTAGTAAGTCTCGATCGGGGTTCACTCAGCCTCGTGAGGAAAACTGGGGAGCTATTTCAAGGAAATAGCGGCTCCGGTCTAGGAAACCGAGATTGTAGGCCGTGAGGATACGTTGCGCTGACCACGTGACACCATCTATCCGCAAAAGTTGGCATTAACTTCGCCGACAAGCGGCGGTCGCTCGGTCGGTATAGTTCGCTTACCGACTACAGGCCACGGAAATCCACCAGATGAATTAAGGAACGGTGATGAACTGTAAATTTGGTTACGTACTTCATGTGACACTCGTAAATAAAATCACAGAAATGCAACAGTCGAACGAGAACGCGAAACAGAATAGACCTTCAATTAAAGAAAAAGGCAACAATGTTGTAATTTTGTTTTCACGGGTATCTTAGTACAGGGTAGAAACACTATTTACCGTCTCACAAAATATACCAATGGCCCTTATATTTAGATTTTACATTTACGTTCACAGGACTTACGGGAAGAAGAGGTTCTTGGCGTTTTTTCTAAAGCATCCGCCCCTCTATTTCAATGTATGTTACACGCCACATATTACTGGCACGTTCCAAACGAGAAATAGGTGGGGGGGGCGCCAATTACCTCCTCCATGTCTGCCATTCCCCTCCGTCTGTGCGCATGTAACAACTCGAGAATCATGAATGTATATTAGTCACACCTAATAATGTGAAGCTTTGCCGCGATTAGTGATTTCCTTCCAATTTTCATTAACATCAATATGGAACATTTTACATAAATACTTACATGATTTTCTGCTGACTTCTCGAGTGCAACCCCGCGGAATTTGTTCAATATTTATCAGAATGAAATACGTTGTACACAAAACTAAAACACATTTTCTGTAATAAGTACTGTTATCGCGATACAAATAGGTCTAAATAAAAACAAAGGCTGGAAATGTATAATCCGTTCTGGAACACGCAGAAAGTGCGCATGCGCTATTTCCTCCTCATGTCCTCATGGTCACATACATATATATAAGTAAATGAAATAAATGTATATTGTCACGTGTCCGGAGTTCCGTGAAGAATAGTAACGGGTTCTGGGTAGGATCATTGTATTTATTGACACTCGTTTTACAATTACAATTAATAACAACAGCGCAGAATCAATGGCTGTCTGTACTCGCTCCATTCCTTAATGGACTACGAGTGTCTTCTCTTCCACTGAGACTGACTTGGTCCTGATTTACGAAACGGTCACTTCTTCAGCTTCCGTTATCCGCCGTTTAACATTCCACAGCCGAACAGTCAACTATTGAACTCTGAGCTCTCTTGCGAACGTCGAATGCGGGCTCATTTGCGAATGACTCTCGAATTAATTACGTTTCCCCCTTTTACAGCCCCGGGGCGAACCAATCAGAAATCACCACCTCTGACAGTTCCTCTCTCATCTGTGCTTATCCGTTGTTGCCGAAACGTGTGTTAATTTCACAGAAGTGTTCTGGTTTCTACAATCTTATCCGTTGCTGCCGATACGTGTTTTAGGGAGCAGTTGTCTAGCAAAGGACGTTTTTGCTGTGCTTCTCTGATGTACACTCGTTAAGGCGTCATGTCGCAATATAATTGTTATTGTTTAATATATGATCCTAAGTACTGTAGTGGAATATNAATCACCACCTCTGACAGTTCCTCTCTCATCTGTGCTTATCCGTTGTTGCCGAAACGTGTGTTAATTTCACAGAAATGTTATGGTTTCTGCAATCTTATCCGTTGCTGCTGATACCTGTTTTAGCGAACCGTTATCTAACAAAGGACGTTTTTGCGGTGCTTCTCTGACTGCACACTCGTTCAGGTGCCATGTCACAATATAATTGTATATTGTTTAATATATGATCCTAAGTACTGTAACGGAATACTAGTTTAGAAGATCATAGGTCTGAATTTAACTCCGTCTCAGCAAAACTAAAGCTCTGTAGGACTTGAGGTTCTCACAGCGGTCATTATAAAGAGTTCTGTCTCTTGGGATATAACGTCATATAGTGTTGAAACAGAACTCTTCAATAAATACTCTGTTCTGTTTTGTTTTGTTTCTTTCTGCATAGCGATTACGTTCTGGAAGTAGTCTGATTTTTAAAATAAAGTTAAATAATTACTCATAATATCTC